CAGCCACTGAAAGTCATCATGACCATGAGATCTACAGCTGATTCCCATGTACCTGTTGATTATTGCCACTCCTTCCTTTACATCTCTGATGGAGCCATTTGCTCAAGAATATTAGTAGATAGAATTAAGACTTTGATGTCTATTTTTAGATGTCAACATGATGGCATCTGGGAGTAATATAACCCAAAAATAGAGGGAACACCTGTGGTCTATTTCTGCTTAATTTAATGTAGGAAGAACTACTTTATTGTGGAACTTTGAGGAATGAAGTCACACCTTCAATTCAGAACTTTAATCCAGATGTAATCTGAACCATTCATTCTGCTGGAAGCCTATAGAAGGACATGGAAGAAGGAAGCTTTTACTCTTTCTCTGCTTGCTCTCACCTTGTTGGCTGCATCCATTCCTTCACTGACATTAGAGCCTACTACTTTAAGGTTACAGCATAATATGAGACATCCAGTGTTTAGGACTGAGAAACTACTGGAGTCTTGAACTTCCCATTCATTTCCAGTCATTATTGGATTAGCTAGCTCACAGGCTGTAAGCCATTCTAACAAATCCCCTTTTAATATAAAGATTCATGTTTATAACTTATGTTACTCTAGAGGCCTGAAAATACGCCATGCACGTAGAGTGGACATTCTAGAAGAGCTTGGGTCTCATAACAGTCTCAGCTCACTTACAAATTCTCAATAGTCACCGTCCCTTAACCTTAGCATTCCTCAGGTGCTTGCTCACTTCATACAACTCAACCCTCCTCCTCCACATCATCATGATCTAATTCCTTGGCATGCTTTATTTCTCATATGCTGTGGGATGGTCTGTATGTCAAATGTGTTGCTGATTGGTCAATGAATAAATCACTGATTGGCAGTGGCCAGGCAGGAAGTATAGGCGGGACTAACAGAGAGGAAAGTTAAGAGAACAGGAAGCTGGGGGAGAGGAGACAGTGCCAGCCGCCATGAAGAGAAACAACGTGTAAAGATGCCGGTAAGCCACGAGCCATGTGGCAAGGTATAGATTAATGGAAATGGATTAATTTAAGCTGTAAGAACAGTTAACAAGAAGCCTGCCACGGCCATACAGTTTGAAACCAATATAAGTGTCTGTGTTTACTTGATCGGGTTTGAGCGGCTTGGGACTGGCGGGTGAGAGAGATTTGTCCTGACTGTGGGCCAGGCAGGAAAACTCTAGCAACACTCATATTATTGAGTATGGATGTTAAGGAGAGGAAGGTCCATTCTTGGGTAGTGCTTATAAAGTGAGTGTTCAACTCTCCATGGGTAAAGTAGTGAAAAGATTCTAAGGAAGCAGAGACAAATTCCCAGCTTTAGAAGGAAGAGTTACTGAATGGCTTCACCTGTGTCACAGGAGAGACTCCTGGAAAAGAAATCTCAGCTTCTTTTCAGTTCAGGGAGAATTTATTAGCCAGGAGGAAAAGGCTGTTCCGTGTGACCTCAGGAGTCCCTTCTCTGGCAATTCTATTGTATCCTGAAGAGCAGAGCTCTTGGAATCCCCTGTGATGTCAATAGTGTTGTAGCAACACCAAGTGCCTTTAGGATGTTCGTTCAATGCCTATACAGCTTGACTATAGACATGTTGTCAAGTACACCTTGTTGTCAAATCACCTGCTAGTCAAGTACAAAGTCTCACCACAAACTAATAGCACCCTGTATTTCCCACAAGCCAACACCTGTCAAGACATCTTGAAATGCATGATGAGCAACCACACACTATTGGTCCTATACCCAGAGAGTGATACAGGCCACAGGCTCTGCTTTTCATTGGAATGAAGCAGAACAGCCTGTGTCCCCATCTCACCCCTACCCGGGCATCAAGTTCTGCCTTTCCGATGCACTTGGGAAAATTAGTTTGGGCATGAGGACACCATGGAGTTCATTCTTTTTCTGAGGAATCCTGGGTTTGACACAGTGGTCTCAAGACAGTCAACAGAGAATTAGGCATAACAACTACCTGCTTTTCAAATCATTGTTTGTATTATGGTCCAGGATTCCAAGTAGTTCATTCCTCTAACAGGTCATCATCTGTAGCTGAATGGTCAGTTTTTCCACCTTGTTCAACCCCAGGCCCTCCTAAGTGAGGGGAGAGTTGGGATGATGCCTTTCCAGTAGTCCCTGGAGGTAGAAAAAACACAAGGGTAATTATATATTTAAATGGCATAGGGCCAGGAGAGATAATGCTAAGTGTAGAGTAAAAGGGTCATGGAAAGAACTTAACCATGAAAGCCTTAAGACCAGTGCAAGGAAAGAACATTTTGACCCGGACTTGTTCCCAAGGCCATGACCAGGGTCAGGAAAAACAATCCTACCAGTCTCTGAGCTTGCCCCAAGATCAGTCCACAAAAGTCCCACCAACGCCAGGCCAAACTGGAAAGTACCCCACTCTCAAGATACTCCATATATAGCCTGCCTTCTGCTCAATTCCCTGTGGCTTCTCACCCAAGCAGAGGAGCCACCCTCTTGGGGGTTTCTCTCCCAATAAATATATTGTGTGAGGCATGTTGTGTGGTGTGACTTTGTGGTATTTCTTGTCTCCTGATTTCCAGGATACCTTTCAGAATAGAGCTGTAACACTTGCATTGGAAAAATTTCCCCTACCAGAGCAGAGCTGTTACATTTGCACTGGGGAAACCTTGCCTGCTGGGGCAGAGCTGTAACACTTCTGTTGGGGAAGCCATTTCCCCTAAAGCTGTAATACTTACACTAACTCCCAAGTAGAGGCCTGAGGAAGAGTCTGTGGAGCCCAGAAGGAACAGGGCGGCTATCCTCAAGCTGGGTCACATAAGCCATATCTCTGTTCCCCACCACAATGTCTAGATATGTGCCTCCATACCCACTGCAATCCCATGGGCTCTGGAAGTCATAAGCTAGTCCAGCAATTCTGGTTCGGAGGACAACGCCAGCTCATATCTGATATGATGTACGTTAAGTCCTGGAGTTCGTAGTGCTTAGCAGCACCAAGCCCTGACCACCTGTGTCTAGGACCAAGAGCAACTGAATGGCTGGGAGCTTGGTGAATGCCAGGGGACTTAAACTGCCTGTCAATAGCATCAGATATCCATGGAACATAAAGGAATTTGCTGAGGGTAAAGTTCAGTAACACCCTATCCTGACAGGGATCCCTCATCTATCATCCTGTGCCTCTTGCTGCCCTGTTTCCCCTTGGAGTGAAATTAAGGAATTCCCCCAGCACAGTAGCTGCAGATTTGATAATTCCTGGATCTCTGCCAAACAAACCCTCAGAAATCCTTCTCTGTGTCTGCTATTTAGGAACCCAGAGAAGCAGGATAGGCCCATTGTTTCCCAGAGTCTCCCAGCTGCTGAGTCCCATTCTTGAAAGGCCCAGCTCAAGGCCTACCTCCTCCAGGGAGCTCCGCATCCCCTGCACAAAACTGACTGCACCTTCCCCTGGAATATTTATTTCTTGATGTTTACCTGAGACAGATGAATAGCCTCATTCTGCTTCTCTCTCTTCTCTAGACTGTCCATTCTCTCCCAAGTAGCTCTCTCAGTCTCACCAAAATGTCTTTGTGAATCCCAGAGGCACTGTACAAATGCCCTAAATGGCAGTTGGTGTTGCGTCAACAGTGGTGACATCAAGAGGAAGCTCAGGGCTCTCCAGGAAACAATAGAATGTTCAGGGAAGTGACTGTTAGGGTCACTGCCACAGCCCTCACCTATGTGCTACTGAGCTCTTCCCCAATTAGCCAGGAGTTGTCCTTTCCAGGATTATTCTCAGAGACACAGGGGATGCCATTCAGTACCTCTTCCTTACAAAGCCAGAGATCTCTCTCTGCCTCATTAGAACCTTTTCATTACTTATCTGTAGGGAGTTGAAGACTCACTTTTCAAAAACATCCCAGGGTATGTCTCTTCTCTTCCTTATGGTCTCTGATCAATAAGAAGAATGTTCAGGAAGTGACTGGCAGATGAGAGACTACCCTAGCAGGATCTGAAGCCCAGATAAGTGGCCCTCTGTGGCTTGCTGTGGGATGTTCTCTATACTGTGAATGTATTGCTATGATTGATTGATAAATAAAATGCTGATTGGCCAGTAGCCAGGCAGGAAGTATGATAGGCAAGACAAGCAGAGAGGAGAATTCTCAGAAGTGGAAGGCTGAGGCAGAGAGACGCTGCCAGATGCCAGGATGAGAAGCAGAAGTTAAGATACCGGTAAGTCACCAGCCACGCGGCAAGGTATAGATTTATAGAAATGGGTTAATTTAAGATATAAGAACAGATAGCAAAAAGCCTGCCACAATCATACAGTTTATAAGTAATATAAGTCTTTTTATGTTTACTTGGGGGACGCAAGTGGGAGAGATTTGTCCCAGGGAGAGATTTCTCCCGACTGACTGTAGGCTGGAACACAGGAAAACTTCAGCTACAGTGGCTATCAGTTCTACCAATTCTCTATAGGTAGTGGGTGTCTCAGAGGTCAGCTGGTTTCCTCTGCCTCCCTGCACAAGGTGACCCACAAGACAACCTCAGTGGGATTATTCACTGTTGCCCATGATGTGACTTGTCTTCGGAGTCTTCAGTCCTCTTTTGTCAGAGCCAGAGGAAAACTGGTACTATCCACAGGCACACAGGTGGTGTGGGGGTTGCCCAAGTACTTTCTGGATGCTTCAGACCCCCACATTGATGGAAAAGTCATGCAGTACAAAACTTAGTCATCAGATTCACCACCCCTTCCTCACTGACAGCTCAGGGCACTCAGAGCTGCCAGGAAGGGGACAGTCTCTCTCCTAATGCACTGCCTCTAAAAGGCAGATAACTATGGATTCCCTCATTTTTTATACTCCTATAAACACAGGTATATTTCGAAAAATTCTGATATGAATGATCATGTCATGAACATGTGTGTATCTAGTCTCCTTTTTTTTGAATAGCTAATCATGTGAAGTGGTATGTTGAATATGGATCTTTTTCCATCATGAAGTGGATATTCTTGTTGTAGGCCATGTGATGCACACCCAAGACACCATCCCTGTTTGCAACCCTGCCTGGCTGGGAACCCACTAGCCTAAGCCTCCTGGAACTTGCAGAGATCCATCTCTGCCTGTTGAGTTCTAAGGTTACAGGAGTGTAATACCACATCTGACTACTAAAGCTACTATAAGACTGAAGAGTTGGAAATTGCTTTTTTATTTATGAAATTATAGAAATTTGACTCAATAGGGGCTTTAAAAGGGCATTTAGTATATCCAGCATATAGCCTTAGCAAAATATAAAATCAAAGAAAGAACAAAAGAACCAAAAATTATCAAACACCAAACAAAACAAAGAAAATCAAAACCTGAATGGAAACAAACACAACAGCAAACCAAAACTATTTACACTGAGAAGCATTCTCTTCTTGCAGATTTAGTGGCACTATCCTATACCCTGTGGTTGGATTTGGACACAAGTTGGAAGACAACCATATTTGGCATTATGGTCTCTTCAAGACAAGTGTAGTCATGCCACTTTGGGGCCTTTAGGTTAAGCCCCTGCCAAAGTTGATCTTAAACTATGTTGACCACTATGTGATTCTGTCAGGCAACCTGAGTTTCTGTGCCGATTTAAGACTGAATAAGGACATGGGGAGCATCTGCTACCCAAAGACATAAAAGCTCATGATGGCATCCTTTCTAAATCATTTCTCAGAACAATTCACTTCACCATCACATGTGCTTGAAGGTGAGTCGCTCCAGCACTCGACTGGAGTGAGAATATGATGCTTCCTTTGTGTGGTTTGTCTGGAAAGCAGCAACACATTCTCTGTGGATATATCTCCATCCACATAAGAAGAGCTGAAGACTCAGTCGGCTAACAAAAGTTCATAGCAATAAACTTCCAGAGCAACTATGAATGGAAACATATTCTCTCTCTATGTTGTTTTGGCCATCACTGGGAACACTTGCGGGTAAATGTCAGCTTTTTCTGCATAATTCTTGCTGTTTTTTTTATGTCAAGCGTTTTCCTGATGGTTTCCTTACTCCATAACTAGAGAGACACATGAATTAGATTATGGATGGACCACTTGCAGGGTGGTTGATATTTTCTTCATTTGTGATTCTATAGTTAGAAGTACATGTCTTGTTCTGAGGAGGCCTTGACTGTAGAGTGGAGAATGTCAGGGTTTCTGGTTGACTATGGCTTCCCTCAACCTCCTCAGTTCTTCTAAAGGATGCTGTGAGAGAAGAAAAGGCAATCAGATCTAAAACAGCTTTGCTTGGTCACTGGCTAGACAAATTGAGGACCTATTCACATATAGGAAAGCAGAATCAAGGATGAACATCCACCCTACAAATGCCATGTTGCTGGGGAAGGGATGTCATGGTGGCTCACTTGCTTATGACACTTAGTGCTCCTGCTGCAGCAGCTCTGTTGGCAGGAGGCTCTCATCCTGAACTGTGGACTGTTCCAGCTCATGTAGGAGTTTTTCTGACCTGGATGAGGAAGGCAGTTAGGGCAGAGTCCTGGTGGGGTCTGCCATGTGACCTGCCAATCTCTGACATCACAAAACCTCAGTTGTGCTGGACAGTCAACATTGAACTTTGGCAGCAGTCATTGTTTGTATCCCTAAGAGATAAGTGTTCCAGAATAGCTGGGCCTTGAATTCTTTTCTGCCCATAAGTATCAGGTGTTTATATGAGTAATGTATGTTCTGTGCTCTATGAGAAAGAACAGGGCTTTTTTCCTACAGTCTAGGGACATCATTTAAACAAAAGGAATAGCATATTAAAGTCATACATAACGACATAGTGGAGTTACACAGACTGTTCATGATGAGTTTTTCATTGACCAACTCATTTTTATATATAGACTTAATACAACTTTGCAAACTAGACAGCTGAATAAGGTCATGTGGAAAAATCAGCTCTCTCTCCTGCAAAATGGAGCCGGTCATGCTAGAGCAACATTTCTTGTTTCATGTGTCTGAGAACATTGCCACTGTATGAACTCTGGGAATAAACAAAAACAGCTGTGCTATCCTTAGGCCTACAGCCTGGAATCTACATCCTGGTACTCCTGAGAAGTCTGTTCCACAACATTCTGTGAAGGTTCTGAACAATTTTCAGCAGAGACATCTGCCTGACTTCATCCTGCCAATGACTAAACTTATTATACCCCAGTACACTTAACATGGGAAATGCTCAGACAATGAAGAGGGCCATTGTTATATTAAATAGTGACAAGACTGTGAATCTCATCCGTACAGGTGATATTCCTGAATAAATATGTAATTTCAGATATGGTGGGACACACCTTTAAATCGCCTCACTTGGGAGGCATAAGCAGTCAGAGCTCTGTGAGTTCAAGGAAAGCCTGCTGAGAACATACCAGAGAGATCAGAAGGGAGAGACGGGACACAAGTCTATAGAACCAGGGAGTATCAAACATATTGTTTGCTGGACAGAAGTTCTTGGTGACGGGACCAGCATAATATTATGAGTTCTGTGTTGGTCTACCCCTGCTTGGAGCAAGGAATCTTGCTGATAAGCAAAAGCCCACAAAGGACAGAGAGCCCAGGTACAGGGGACCCAATTGGCTCCATACCCCAAATTCAACCTGGGTTCCTACCTCATCTGGGAGACAGCCAAATGATGCTGCAGCTTTATTGCCAAGTGTTTTTGCTGTGTAACCAGCTCCCTCTGCTTCAGCAAGCTCTGAAGTCTCTCTTCCATTCTTTGCTGCTCCTTTTCATTAGAAGATTGTGTCCTTAGTGGAGGCTTGAGTATAATATAGACAATACATTCTCACACAAGTACAAGGACACACAGAGGATCCCAAGAGCTTGCTATTAAGTCAGACTCACTAAATTTCAATTTCATGGGAACATGAGAAAGCCTGTTTCAAATTCATAAGACAGAGACTGACAAAGAGAGAAACCCAGTGGTCTCCTCTAGCTGTCATCCACATGAAATATGCACTGCCCTCAAACGTGCCTCTATTTTACACACACACACACACACACACACACACACACACACACACACACACACCCCAGAGAGAGACAGAGACAGAGAAAGGGGTGAGACGAAAACAACAAAGTGATAGAGGAACAGTTATCTTTAAAATAAGCACACCAGCCTTTAGAAAAAGTCCCCAAACTCAGCTTTCCATCCATGGGAACTAAAATGGCCTAAGGGAGCATACTCTGCTTAGTCAGTCTGTGTGGAGGTGGTTAGAGAATTTTTTACTCTTGAACTCAAGTCTGTGTACAGCAATTCTCCCATCATAATGACATGTAGCTGTATGATGAGTGACTGAACTGTTTCCTCCCTTTGACTACCAGTTCAAGAAGAGTATCAGGAATTTCATGCCAATGACAGAGATTCTCTGAGGAGACTCACTTCCCAGAAATACTAATGCACAGACACACAATGAACAATTTTATGTCATGAAGTGGGTGGATGGATGGGTGTATGGATGAGGAAAGTGATGAGATAAAGCTCTATCGGTTAGGTAGACTGGGTAAGGTTACATAAGTAAATGATGCTGGACTTAACTGTGACCCACCTGCCTGTCCTACCTGCTGTTGCTGGTTTTCGAGTCCACTGGTCTCTTCTTGGACCTTACTGAGCACTTTCAAGTCACCCAAGTGGTGCTTCAGTAGGTCCCAGTCTTCCAGTAGGTTCTCCTTCTCTTGCCTCAGCATGTCCAACTTCTTTTTCAACTGACTCTGCTCCATCAGGAGCCGGCTCTGCAGATCACTGGAAACACCCTCTGCATAGTAAGACTTTGCCAGCCTGCACTGGTCACCCCTGACTCCATGCCTCAACAACCCAACCCTATCCCAGGTTCACAGGAAGATGTAAACAAGCACCTTCAACAGTAATCAGAGTGGCACTCAAGACCAAAAGCAGAAAACAGCTATTTCCTGCAAGAATCAAACTATTTCTGAAAACCCCCTAAATAACAGAAAGTCATGCACTTCCAAAAACAAGAGGAGTACCCCACCTGTCCTAATCAGTCCACTGTCATGAGGAAACACCAGCAGGTAATGTAACAAGGACACTTGGGGAATTAGGAGACCCAGAGAGTGCATAGATCCCATAGCAGTCAGTCCCTGCCTGACAACCCTCTCGTGAGGCCAATTGCTCTTCTACCTAACCAGAGGTTCTCATATGTGGGTTGTGAACCCTTTGGGATCTAAGGAGCCTTTCACAAGGGACACATATTAGATGTCCTATGAAGACATTTACATTAAAATTATTAACAGTAGCACAATAAATTTAAGACATCAGTACAATATAATTTTATGGTTCGGGGTCATCAAAACAATGAAGCAATGTATTAAAGTGTCACAGAATTAAGAATGTTGACAACCACTGATCTAGAGGCTACTGAATGACAATATGGTGCTTGGAAGAGCTAATAGTCTCTCTAAACCTTAGCAAAACAGAGTAAAGGGGCATAAGTCCAAAGGCTGCTTGCTAATGCTGCTGGCTAAGAAGCAGAAAAACTAGAAGCAGATCTGCAGACCCTGCAGTCCAGAGACAAAGAAAATGAGAATTGTACATTGTACAACAGTTGGGGTCCCTGCAAAGACAAGCACTTACCAAGGCATACTTTCTCCTTGGTCAGCTCACATAACTTCTGTGAGGCCTCCAAATTCTCATTCTCGAAATTCTGCAGGTCTGACATGACCTGCTGATGTTCCATCTTGATGTTTTCCCAGAAAGGATTTACCCTGTGGTAGGGTCTGGACCCAGAAGCAAAGAATTCAATGAACACAGGTCATATAGCAAATGAATGTAGGGTGTGTTCTGTACTATTTCAACCCATGAGATGCCACTTCCTGGCTCCTATGTACTCAAACTCCTATGAGCCTCCAGCTGCTTCTTGCACTTCTGGCCACAAGTCAGCAAAGGCAGGGTGTTAAGAAGCTGGGACTGAATGAGCTCCCTCAGGAGTCATGCCAGCTAGCTTGCTATGGAGTTCCCACGAGTCTATCACAGGTCTTGACCCACCAGAAATTGTGATGTTTCTTCTGTTTTCAAATAAGAGATTGTTATTCCAGAGTGCCTATATTGACATGGAGGGTAAAAATCACATCATGAGCATTTCTGAGGATGGGATGCAATATCATGAGAGCTTCATAAATTCCCCCAGGGCATTCCTCATTAGCAGCAAGATGAACAGACTGGCAAAGGGCTATGCTGTCTAAAATGGGGCTCTTAGTCCACAATAGAGAGCACATCTAGATACTGAGATAAGCAACTCTTCATGGTCAACCACAGACCCTTTATTGCAGGTGAAGAGGGACACATATGCAGAAACACACAAACACATACACAAGAAAGAGGGATGAGAGAGAGAGACATAGAGACAGAAAGAGAGAGAGTCAGAGAGATACAGACAGAGAGAGAGATAGAAGAGAAAGGGAAACAGAGACTGAGAGAGGGAAGGGGGATAGAATGTTCTTAGTGAGCTGCCAAATTCATGCATGCAGTTGTATCATCTCAGAGAGGACCAAGAGAAGCAGACATCAGTACCAGGCCTTGCTGCCACATATTAAGATGTGGGACCAGGCCTCTGCAGCTGCTACTAGGATCATCCAGCACACAATATCTTGCCAGGCAAGCAATACAAATTACAGCATTCTCACACTAGCCACCACTTGACAGGATCTCTCCTATTTCATGCTGGGAACTCACATACTACTGCCTCAATTCCTGAGTTATGTGATTCAGGCCACAGGCTCTGGTTTTCATTTGGAGGAAGCAGAACAGTCTATGTCCCCATCTCACTCCTGCCCATTATGTCAGGTTTTGCTTCAGGGAAGCATTTAGAGAAATTGTGTTGGACAATGGGAAACCCTGAAGGTGCACCCAGCCTCCAAGAAGTCAATATTTTAGACAAATGAACTAAGGGTGAAATTGTGAAACCAAGACAGTCACCATGGATTTTGAAACAGCAAATACCTGTTGTCCAAGGATCCTTCAGTTACTAAGATGAGGCGATCTCTCAGATCATTCCATTGGGCGGTCATCACCTGGAGCTGAGTGGTCAGGCTCTCCACCTTCTGCTTCACTTGCTTCTTTGTGAGGTTGGTTGGAGTGGGTGGTGGCTCCTTGGAGGCCCCTGTTGGTGGATGAACACAAGTGAACGTGCATTGTGTCAATACATGGAGAATGAACAGGTCACCCTGAGACCTGAGAAGGTGTTTGAGAAAGGATGTAAGCAAGCAATTCAGTGAGACCACAAAGAATTGTGCCCTGGATTAAGATGCCCCTGCCAGGGGTCTCAGGTCTCCCATCTCTCTGAGGGGAGATAGGTGTCTCAGCCAACTGATTTCCTCTGCTCCTTTAACACATGCTTCAGGTAACTAAGGAGACAGCCTCCTCAGGTTTATTAATAGCCCTGGACTCTGCATTCAACTTGGCTTCAGGGTTCACTAGTCTGTTGTTATCAAAGCCAAGATAAAATTGACACAGTCCATAAGTACTCAGGTCACTAAAGATGCATAAATATCCTGACAGGTCACTCTAAGCACATGGCAAAAATGGAGAATCCACACAGGGGCAGAATATGGTCATCATCCTCACTAAGACTCCTCAGTGACACCGGAGGATGCATAGAGCTGGTGGGCCGTAAATAAATGAAGCCACTGAGAATGAAGTACATTGATGATGTGTCTTTTTCTGGGCTCAGTTCACTTGAACCTGCTACACTAATGCTGGCCTTTTTGTCCCCTCTCAACCCCTACCCTCCTGTAGAATTGAAAGGCAAGAGCTCCCAGCACAACAGCTTTGGCCTTACTCATTCCTGACTTCTGGGACAGACAAATTACTCTTCTGGAATCCTTGAATTTCAGGAGCCATGACAAGCAGGGAAGTCCGGTTGGTTCCCAGAGACTCCTACCTCCTGTGTCCTGTTACTGGAAGATTTACCACATCCATGTCCTTCAGGAAGATGCCAATTTCCTGCCCAGAACTTACTATACCATCTTCTGGACCATTTTTTCTTGATGTTTTACATTGAGGCTGAAGGTCAGTTTGTGTCTGCCTCTTTCCGGTCTCTTCCCTCTCTATTCTCTCTACCCAATAGAGTCCTGAGTCTTCCCAACATGTTCATGGCTGAACTGTAAGGGCACTGAACAAACTCCCCAAACGCAGTTGGTGGTACTACAACACAGATGACATCAGAAAACATTCTAAAGTTTCCAGGATACAATAGAATGTCCGGGAAAGAGACCCCTGATGTCATGGGGAACTGACATTGCCTCCCTGCTAACCAGCTCTCCTCATAACTCTCCAGAAGTCAGGTTTCCCATTCCAGGAATCTCTCCTGGGACTCAAGGGAAATCCTTCAGCACACTTAAATTCTCTGAACGTTTGGAAATGCCTCAGTACTTCCATGTGGGAAAGTGAGTGTTCATCTCCTACTAATGCATATGTCCAGAAGGTAATTATTATAGAAATGTATGTGAGGTATGATTCTCCACAAGTACCTGCATCTCCTTATTACCAAGAAGTGATAGACTTAATGATAATGGGAAGGTCAGTTTTTATGAGCAAGGGACATCAAGGTCATGATGGGAAAAAGTACAGAGATAATCAGCCAAACTAGTGGAAACGCATGAACTGTGGACCAATAGCTGAGGAGCCCCATGAGCCTTCACCCAGTGACTGATGGAAGCAATGCAAAGATGCACAGCTGGGGGCCAGGCCGAGCTCCAGGAGTCCAATCGATGAGAGAGAGGAGAGATTCTATGAGCAAGGGACATTGAGATCATGGTGGGGAAATGTATAGAGATGGACAGCCGAACTAGTGAAAACACATGAACTGTGGACCAATAGCTGTGGAGCCCCCATGCTACTGGACTAGGCCCTCTGGATATGCGAGACAGTCGTTTAGCTTGAACTGTCTGGTGGGCGCCCAGGAAGTGCGATCAGGATCTATCCCTCGTGCAGGAGTGGGATTTTTGGAGCCCAGTGCCTATGGTGGGACACTTTTTACTGCCTTGGTGCAGGGAGGAGGGTCTTAGACCTGCCTCAATTGAATGTAACAGGCTCTGCTGACTCCCCTAGGTGACTTTGCCTTGGAGGAGTTGGGAATGGGAGGTGAGTTGTTGGGGGTAAGGCTAGGGGACGGGAGGATGGAGGATAGGAGTAATCTGTGGTTGGTATGTAAAATGAACAGAAAATTTAATAAAATAAAAAAAATAAACAACTTCCCAGTATGGAGCCTACAGAAATTACTGTCAGAAGATAATATGTAGCTTATTTAATTCAATCCCCATCTCCCACATTGGAGCACAAACTGTCTTTAATTCCAGTTCCCGGATATCTGACACCTTCACACACACACACACACACACACACACACACACACACACACACACACACACACACACACACATACATATACATATATATATATATATATATGCAAGTAGAATGCCAATACACATAAAAATAAATAAATTTTTAAACAAAAAAATAAATTTGTTTTATTTTGTTTATCTGTATAGTGGTCGTGCACACTTTTGATCCCAGTACTCAGGAGGCAGAGGCAGGAAGATCTCTGTGAATTGGAGGCCAGCCTGATCTATAGAGCAATTTCCAGCACAGCCAAGGCAACACAGAGAAACTGTGTCTTGAAAAACTGTACAGGAGGAGGAGGAAGAGAAGGAGGAGGAGGAGGAGGAGGAGGAGGAGGAGGAGGAGGAGGAGGAGGAGGAGCAGAGGAGAAAACAAGCCAGGCTGGGAAAACAGCTCACTGGGTTAAGTGCTTTCCACACAAGTGTGAATCATACATTTGAAACCGAGAACCCATGTAAACCTGAGTGTGGAAGCTGTTGTATCTCTAATCCTAGTGTTCCTATGGTGATCTGGGAGACAGAGACAAGAGAACCAATAGAAACACAGCCCAGTTTTCCAGACACACACAGTGGCAAACAAAATAAAGAGAACCAACTTAGATGGTTCAGCCGGTAAAAGAACTTGCCATCAATCCTGATGACCAAAGTTTGTTCCCTGGAACTCGTGTAAAGTTGGAAGGATTGGATAGACTCCCAAAGTTCTCTGATCTCCACATGCAAGCAATGGCATGCACACACCTCTCCCTACACAGACTAAAAGTACAATCCAAAGAGGCGCAATCTCTTGGTAGAAGGTAAGAAGCAACACCTGAGGCCATCCACTGACAACAACACCCATGCTCACACTCACAAATCACATATACACACATATCACACACAAACACATACCACACACATACCACACACACACACACACACACACACACACACACACACACACACACACACACACACACACCACAGTTTAAACAACAACAAAATTACCCAGATCTCCTTCACTGTCTTACAACTCATTCAGACATCTTTAAAATACTACCTGGTAGACATATGAATTTTCAAGTTTGACACTAAATCCAGTGGACCATCAGAAATGTATCTAGACCAGAATATCCAAGTCTCAAGTTCTAGTCATCTAGCCTTGGAAGTCTGTATGCATGCTTTAGGAAAACACATTCTGGTCATCACTGCTCTGTATAAATTCTTGGTCAGTTCTTACCTCATCCCTTTACCTTCTCCCATTCTAAAATTGTCTTGAGCCCCATGACCATGACTATGACAATGCTGAAGTATCCCAGCACCGGTATCATTGTGGGCTGCAGCTGATCTGGGCATCATTAGCCCTTCTGACACTGGAGCCTCCTTCTAAGCTGGGTGTGTTTCATTTTGCTTGCTGTCTGTCTCCCCAGGGAGATGGAAGCAGTGTGAGGTGTGATTTGTTGTCTAGTGCTCATGCTCAATGTTGGCACAGGACCCACTGTACAGTAAGCATGCGAGTCAGAAGTAGGACATGGTGTCCCATGCCTTTGATCCTAGCACTCAGAAGGCAAAAGCAGGTAGATGTCTGTGAGTTTGAGGCTTGCTTGGTCTATAGACCGAGTTCTAGGACAGCCACAGCTACATAGTAAGACACTATCTCCAAAAACAAACAAACAAAGAAAAAGTGAGTTTGGGAGTTGGATCAGCAGTTAAGAGAACTGTCTGCTATTGTGGAGGATGAGGGTTTAAGTCCCAGCCACCATACTGAGGTTCAAACACACTCTTCCAGCCTCCTCAGGCACCAGGAACACATGCAGTGCTCACACATACCTCCAGGAAAACACCCATATACATAAAAATGAAATAAATATTAAAAAGGGAAAAAACAAAAATTAAAATAATATTCAAATGAAAGTCATGTGCTTATGAAATGGCTCAGCAGGACTTGTTTGTTCAAGACTTGTTGCACAAACCTGGACACCTAAGTTCAATCCCCAGAATTTTCTTAAACGTAGAGTGAAAAAAAATGAGACTGAACAAAATTGTCTTTCTGATCTCCCCATGTGCTCATATACAAAATAAAAATTTGTAAAAATAAGAAAGAGGAAAGAAATTTTCAAAAAGGAACATAAAATAACTGTCAAATCAGATTGGAGGTATGGCTCTGTGATAGAGATCATGGAAGGGCCTGTTTCCATTCTCAGCACCAAAAATAAGGCACACTAAAATATGGAAGGAAGTGAATTCAAGCTCTAATTCCCCTTAATTTAGCATCAAGGTGAGGGTCCTGGAGCCCAGAAGACCTGCCTAGAATCCCTGCCTAATTGTTTGAGGTCTCTATATTGTCCCTCATCTGACCTGGAGCCGGGATCAGGTGGACACTTTGCTGCAGAATCTCCCTAATCAAGGGCTACAGAAACCTGAAGCCTCTTATCATTGAACTTTTCATAAAGGCCCCATTTCAATTTTGCCAGAGAGGGTGCTTTATAGAGCTGGATCCAGGACAATATATAGTGACACTTCCTCTCTTCTTCCCCTCATTTCTGTCCGAAAACCTGGCCCCCAACACAAGAATCAGAGCCAAATGCTTCTAGCATAGACCACTATGATCAGCCTCTCCATTTCCTTCTTCACCTGTTTCTTGGTGAGGAGGGTTGGGTAGGATGATGGCTCCATTGCAGTCTCTGTGGGTAGATGAACACAAGTGAATTTGCATAGTGACAAGGCATAGAAGATGGACACACCGCCCTGAGGCCCAAACACAAAGATCATGTCTGGAACCAAGTGACAACCCAAACATTTTGGGCCAGGCTGAGATCCCTCCTCTGTGGACCTTAGCTCTCCAGTCACTCTTTACAGATGTGGCTATGTAAACAGTCAGGGGTTTCCTCTGTGTCCCTACACATGCTTCAGGGGAACAAAGACCACCTCTTCAGGAATATTTTAGAGGCACAGGATGTAACACAGTCCAAGCCCCGAAGCCTGCCTGTGGTTTCAGCAGCCAGGAGAAAAATGGCACAATGCACAAGCACTCAGGTGTTGTGCTCCAGCTCCTCTGCCCCATTACTGAAAGGCCCAGCTCAAGCCCACCTCCTCCAGGAAGCTCTCCATCTCCTGTCCAACACTCATTGTGCCTTCTCCAGAACCATTTTTTTGTTCCTGTTTTACTCTAAGACTGAAGGCCAGCTTCCTTCTCCCTCTCTCTGGTCTCTGGACAATCTCTATTCTGTCTCCAAAGCAGACTCCTCAGTCTTGACAGCATGTCTAGTGATGTACCCTATAGGCACTGAAGGAATGCTCTAAGACAGCTGGAGTGCTACAACACTGTGAGATCACAGGGGAGGCCAAGAGCTCTCCAGGATACAATGGAATTTCCAGAGAAGGGACTGCTGATGTCATGGGGAACAGCTTTTGTCACCTTGCTAATTCATTCTCCCTGAACTGACCAGAAGCCCAGGTTCACTTTCCAGGAGCCTCTCTTGGAACAAAGCAGAATCCATTCAGCAACTCCTCCTTCCAAAACCAGAGTTCTCTTAGCTTCATTGGAATGGCCATAGTGCATCCCAAGTTGGGAACTTAGCTATACTATCCAAACACTGTCCAAGAATGCCTCATTCCTTCCTCAGTATACCTCAATTCATCAACATGAGCAATTAACTACTATTGAACCACAGATGATACCCCAACTCCTTTCATTCAGAGTTCAAATTAGGATGGAGTTCAGCCACTTACATACCTGATGAGTACCTTGGTATACTGCCCAATGCCCAGATTTGTTATAAGACTGGATATAGAAAGGCAATGTGTCGCTGTAAGTAAGAGGTCCTGCCCAAGACCTCTGACCATAAGAGACTTTAGAGGAACCACTCCTCTTCTTCCTCAAGACTGCTAATGATGGTGTACAGTCTTCAACTGGGAGCCACAGGCTACAGAGCCCTTCAAAAGGGACTCACATTACTAGGAAACTACAAGTTTCTGTTTCCTTTGCTTTTAAGGCAGTTAAATTCAAATAGACAGTGCCTAGCCAGGGACTAGCCATCCCACCCTGGACCTCACATCCTAGGTGCTTTTCCAGGAATGCTTTGAAGCTGGTTTTCTTGGTTCTACAGCTTCTGGTTTCAAAGTAAAACAACAACAAACACTGTATATCTCTCAGACAGAACAAATAAATAACAGTAATGTGTTTACTTGAGTTCATCAGTGGCTAATCATCCCCGAGGAGTGGGAAACCAGGACTGTGACCTGGCCTCTGTGGATCTAGACAGACTGAGGAACAGGCTCATGTTAGCATCCTCTGCAGAGACAGAGTGAGATGGAATGGACACTGACCAGGCTGAACCACCGTCCTGAGCCCCTGCAAGTATGGTTACAAGCAGACTCCTAGTTAACATTTCAAGGAGCTCCTGTGGAGGCCATGGTCTTTGTCTGACCCTGTGCACCATCTAAGGTCAAGCATGCATCTGTCCAAGGGATATGAAATTCTTCCATTCAGCATTTGACAGGACAAGGAGCCATGTTCAGGAATGGTGACTTCCTGCCATAAAATATGTGACAAAAATAATGTAGAATTCACCTGCGTGAAATATCAAGGGCCCTTCTATGTGGTTTTGGGTGTATGTTAACCTTATGCAACAGCTTGAAGAGCCCAGTTCCTATATTCATTGGATTTATGATGATGATGCACTTGGAAATGCCTGCAACCATCCTGAACAGAGGTCAGAGAGCTGGATTCACAGAGTGGAGGGAACATGACTGAACCAGGATTGCAGACTTGGGGTCTGAGGTCCAGCTCTACCACATAACACCTGGCTGAACCTGGCTCATTTTCCTTCCCATGTATATACCCTAGGGGGATTGCTGTGGGATGTTCTGTATGGCAAATGTGTTGCTCTGATTGGTTGGCAAATAAATCACTGATTGGCCAGTGGCCAGGCAGGAAGTATAGGCAGGACAAGGAGGAGAATAAAGCTGGGAAGAGGAAGGCTGAGTAAGAGACACTGCCAGCCGCCACAATGACCAAGCAGCATGTGAAGATGCTGGTAAGCCACGAGCCATGTGGCAAGGTATAGATTAATGGAAATGGATTAATTTAAGCTGTAAGAACAGTTAGCAAGAAGCCTGCTATGGCCATACAATTTGTAACCAATATAAGTTTCTGTGTTTACTTGGTTGGGTCTGAGTGGCTGTGGGACTGGCAGGTGAGAGAGATTTGTCCTGACTGTGGGCCAGGCAGGAAAACTCTAGCTACAGGGCATGGCCAAGGAACACTGTCTCTGGAATGACAGTGCCTGCCTCAGACCAGCAGATCACCAGAAGCCAATTTACCTCAAGCCAGTTCTCTGCAACAGGAGTAAAGAGCAGGAGATAGACAGCCTTTGAGAGAGTGCTTAGGCATCAGGGTCCCTGCACATGATCAGGAGATGGTGACTTAGCCACCTGCATTCCTTAGCTTAGTGCCCAGAAGAAAAGATGCCAATGGGGCTGGAAGTGCAGGGCCAGGGGCAGCTGTGTCCTTATCAGAACACTGAAAGGCAGGCTGCCACTGACTTCCAGAAGGATGTCCTCCACTCCTGGCTGCAGTTCAAGTCTGTCTGTCTCTTTCTTTCTTTCTTTCTTTCTTTCTTTCTTTCTTTCTTTCTTTCTTTCTTTCTTTCTTTCTTTCTTCCTCTCTCTCTCTCTCTTTCACTTTTTTCTTTCTTCCTATCTCTGTCTTTCTATTTTCTTTATTTCTTTTTGTTATTTTTGGTTTATAGAGACAGGGTTTATCTATGTAGTCCTGGCTCCTGGAACTACCTTTGAAAATCAGGCTTGCCTGGAACTTAGGGATCTTTCTGCCTATGCCTCAAGAGCTCTGGGATTAGAGGTGTGGGCAACCACTACCCAGGAACAGTTCAAGCGTCTAAGGCTCTGTGCTAGGACTGTGATTCTACAGGAAAGAAGTAGGAGGTAGATGCATTCTAGTTTGATGACAAGGACAACTCCAGAACAGAGAGGCAAAGTGACAAACTAACCCAATCACACAGTGAGATCTAACCCTGGACTAGAGTGCTCCACACAGAGTCAGGGGGCATTTCCAAGTAGGGTGGCAGACAGATGCTGTACCCAGGCTACAAAGGTGTAGTTGGTGGATGCTAGGATTCAGTCCTGGTGTCTGACATGTATACTGTGGCTTGTGCATGGGCTTCTCTCATTCTAACCCTCCTCACTTTTCTTAAACTTCACTTTGGTGTAGTTTTGAAGCCAGGGTCTCACTGGGTAGACTTGTCTGACCTGGAAGTTGCTATGTAGAAGAGGCTGCCCTGAGCTCACAGAAATCTGCATGCCTCTGCCTCCTGAGTCCTGGGATAAAAGGCGTCCATCACAAGGCCTGGATTTCCCATTACCTTCTCTCTCTCTCCATCTTCCCCCTTCGTCTTTCCATTTTCTGTCCTACATGGCTCTTAAAATGATGTTCAGTGCCTCACTAGGAAGCAGGACCACAGATACCCCTACTGCTATACTTGGAGGCTCTTCCACTGTCTACCTTCTGTCAATCCTGGACAACATGTAGGCTGTTAGTCTATGTGGCCAAGTACAGCTTCAACGACTAAAAGGTCTCCACTGGCTCAGGGTCCATATTTTCTTTTTGGAACTGAAGAACTGTCTGCACTGAAATGAGCTCACAGAATGGAAAGAGGGAGGGCAGGGTGCCTTAGCTGGGCTCTGAAGACAAATAATCCATTCATCCTTTAAGCCATAGGTCGTCTACACTGCAAACCTACCACATACTCAGTCTTTCTTGCCCAAAGTAAGCAGCATCAAAGAAATGGTCAGTTATCTTCTCAACGGAGGCCAGCATCAACCCACTCTCCTTCATGTTGGCCAGGCCAAACCTGGTAATACCCAGGTGTTCACCCTGTGCAAGGGAAGATGGTCAGTTGAGTCTCAAGCCACTCCAGGAAGTTCAAAACCAAACCAGGAGACATTATCCCAACACTAGAACCAGTAGGAACAGCCAGGCAGCTATTCGTGGCACCACTAAAAGCAGGTGGTTCTTAGTGCAGCTTCATAGCCATTGGGACTTGATGATCCCAAGGACAAGGAGCCTGTCTCTTGTCAGTTGTACCCAGATGCTGTGCCACCCAGAATTAAAAATCTGAGTTTTAAAAGGGGAGTTGCTTCTCCTTTCCTATGATCATTAAGCTGATACTAGAAACAATTTAGCTAATTCAAGAAACGAGCGAACATACAACAGATCCACACAGGACCGCCACTGTCAATATCTTCTCATGTGAGGGAGGACTTCGTGAAGTCTCCCCTGAGGATTTACAGCCAGGTAATGGCTGTTGGGGTGAGGACAGACATACTCTTCAATGTTGTAAACACTGGTGAGGTGCTCATGGTCCAGTATATTACATGTCCCTCAATCCTACTGCTGCAAGCAGCCCTAATGTCAATCATTGGGTCATTAAAATAGGCATTCATTCATTCATTCATTTATTCATTCGTTTGTTTATTGGCCTTAAGATAAGAAAGTACAGCATTTCACTCTGGTTTTGAGAAACCCACCAGAAAGGGAATTTTTTTTTCTTTTTTGATTAGCGCGCCCTGGTGCATTCTATTCAGGTGCCACTAGGTGGCAGTGTAGCAGGAGGTCGCAAAGCAGCATGTGCAAAGCCTCTCTAGACTCCCGCAGCGCAAGAGGAAGTGGCACGTGCAGCGCTCTACGGTGGCTGAGGGAGGGCTGCTGCTCTCTGAGCTCTAAATCCAGCAGTGCCCGGGAAGCTGCAGCGACAGTGGCTTCTGTAGTTGGAGCCTCGAGAAGGAGCAGTTCCGGGAGACGGTTGTAGCTAAGAAAATGTAAGAGGCAGCCTGCTGCTGAGGCTGGGGTCCCGGGTCCCAGAGGGTTCCAGGTGAGTGACAGCTGTGAAGAGAGAAAAGAGAGAAGTTCCAGGATGGGATTTCAGATCTTTCGGTCCCTGAACTGTGGTGGAGAAAGTGGGATGGACTGAGCAGTGTCGGAACGGGCATCCTGAGCAAGGATGCCACCTCCCGAAGCCCCGTGCTGACTCCTCTCAGGAACCTTTCCCTGGTACAAGGAGACAGTGTGTGCTGACCCAAGGTTGTCAGTTGTTATGCCCACATCACGTCCCCAAAGAGACCACTGAAAACCATGGATGTCCAGAATGCAAAAGTAAAGTTTATTTCTGTTACAAGCCGCGAGGCAGGGAACTCATCCCAAACACTCACTTGTAGCTGTGAGGCTGGGAGGAGCTCTCCTTTTTTGTAAGGCTAGCTCTTAAAGGCAAAGACCACCTAATTAATTCCCCCTCAACCCCCTTCCCTCTCCCTGAAAGAATTAAACGTTAGAAAGAAGAACGATCACCAGTCCCAGACCCCCCCAAACCCTCAGCCTCAGCAGAACGTTAGAAAGAGGAACAAGCACCAGTCTCAGACCCCCAAACCGTTAGCCTCAGCAGAAATTATTTTTATGATATTTCTTATGGCATCAACAGAATAATTTTGTGACATTATCTGGGTCTAGCAGAATATCCTGTGGCTATTCTAGGAAGAAAGGCAGCCCCATGGAAAGTCCCTATAGCTATACTCCCCGTCCCTGGTACTGATTTTTAAACTAGCCAATTATGTATTGCCCTGAATGCTATGCTAATTTTGTGGGTTTTGCCTTTAAAAGATGCCTGCAATTATTGTTCGGGGCTCCTCTCACTGAATAGTGGAGGGGGCCCGTTTGTGCAAACAATTAAATAAAGCCTCATGCTGGTTGCATCAACTGGTCTGGAGTCCGGGTTTCTGGGGCATCCACCGGAGAGGGTAGTGCCCTGAGTCTGGGGTCTATCATCTCCAGTTAGTATCAGTTCCTTTTTTCCCAGTCTTTGATCTTTTGTCTGTTCAGCAACTATGTCAGGAGTTTTAAGAGCTGTCTCTGGAGTTGGGATATTTTATGGCCAATTAGCCCACCAGGTGGCTGAACATCCTGACTTTGTAGTTGGTATCACCATCTGGGAACCTGAAACTGGCCTGAGTTTTATCTACACTAAGATATCCTGGTTTAAGCTTCTGTTTGTCTGTAGGGAATAGAGTGTGGGGTCTTACTGAGGTTTCACATTCCCCACTTTCTTTGTTCCTGATGGGGCTCAATCATGGGCCCCTAACTAACTTCTAACTCAAGGGGTTCTTCTTTATCTTATTCTTCAGGGTTAGCATACAACTCGAATCCAGTCGTGTCCACCGGTGCATACCCTCTCTGCGCCATGAGCTGGATTGTGTATAGTCTTTCCCCCATATATTGGAGAAGTTTATTTATGACATAAGGCCTGAACGTGATGGCCACAAAGAAGAGTATTAAGGGCCCTATGAGGGATGAGACCAGTGTAGTAAGCGAGGGGGACTGGGAGTACCAGCACTCGAACCAGCTCTGAGTGACTTCATGTTCTCTTTTTCATTTGGCTAACACCTCTCGTACTTTGGCCAATTTTAGGATTCTTTTAGGACTCCTGAGTGGTCTATGTAAAAACAACACTCTTCCCCTCATGTGGTACATAACCCCTTATCCTTTAAGAAGATAAGATCTAGCCCTCTCCTATTCTGCATAACCACCTCTGCCAGGGAGGATAGGGAGTCCTGGAGGTGCGAGATAGAATTTTCTAATTTTTCTATGTCTTCATCGATGGAGAGACAGGGGCTGCAATAATGCTGCTGTTAGTTATTAGGGATGCCACCCTGGTCCCCAGCACTGCCAGGCTAGCTCCCAACAGCACTGATAAGGTAAGGGCTGTAACTGGCTCTCTCTTATAGTGGCTAAGATTGACAGGCTCAATCAAATTATGTATGATATAATTTGATATAATGTATGACAGGGGCACAAGTCTGACTAATAACAAAACCCCCAGGTTTTATTGAGGACCGCAATATGTGCACATAGACTCAGTCCGGAAGTACATGCCCACCAAGTATCCTCTAAGGGCAACAAGTAGCCAATCTTATTTCCAAGTGGCTGAGTATAATTGCAGTGAATTTGATATTCTAGTGCGATCCGTCCCACGCATAAACCCTGGCCCTCTACCTGTTGGAGTGTTAGGGAGGCCTTTGTTTGCCAGCGGCACTGTTGGGGGTCAGCAGTAATGCTATCTTTGCCCATTACTGCTACTCCCTCGTAAAAAGGGGGTTGTGCATCATAACAAAGCCAACAGGAAGTTGTTAAATTGGGCCTTGAGGCATTAAGGAGCACAAAGGACTTCTGGAGTAGGGAGAACAATGGATCCCTGTCCATCTGCCTGGGAGGAGGTTGGGTCCTCCATAGGGAGTCTATGTGGTTAGATTCTGTGGTGGTATAATCTAGAGGCTTTTCAGTAATGCTGTGTCCCTCAGGCATAGTATGACTTGGCAGAGGAGGGAGGGGGTTGGGTACCGGGTTCAGTATCGTGTTGGGTCTCACTGCTGTTTTTACGGGGGACAAAGTGTGCCTGATAGTGAAAGTGAGTTTGGGATCATGCCCAGAATGGTACAGCCGTAGTCCCCACATTTTCCAGTGGTCCAATCAGCCCTCTTTCCCTCTTCAGTGAACTTAATTATTAAGGAGTCACAACAACCTCCAGGGGTTACCCAGGGGTGATTGGGGAAGCATTCCTTGTCATAGCAGGGGCCACAGTCTACCCATCCTATGCCTTTCCGGCATTTTCCAGTTCCTGGCATATTCCTATCCCCCCAACTCATGGTAATCAAGTCAGTTTTTATCCGTGCCTCCCATCAAATGTATCCAGTTCTTCCACAGTCCCAAGTGGCACAGTAGGCTAGCCCTGGGCCCCCACCTTTTTTAACTTGGTCCTGGTTCTGTGAATGTCCAGGGCATACATAAAAGTGTTGGTCCCTAGTTCTCTTTCTCTGGCCAGGAGTAGCACACCTGTACCCAGGGAAAGGTTCCTGGTCCGATGGGTCCCATGCCTCTCTTACCAGAACATAGAGGTCAACATACAAGTCCAGGAACCAGGTGTCCTTGGGTTCTCTGGCTGAGGAGCTGGAGTTGGCAATGACACCGGTTTCTGTGTTAACTACCAGCCAAGTCTGGTTCCACGGCACGTGAGGGTTGCTGGAGTGGCCCGCGCCCTGGAGGGCTCTCATGAGCAGGACCAGCAGGAGCAGGATAGGCTTCACTTTAGGTGGAGCTTCAGCTTCAGCAGGTTGGAGGGGTGTCTTGATGCCTCCCAGGTCTCATCTCAGTGTCCTGTTGGAGGGGCAAGCAAGCCTGATGGTCGAGCATGGGAGTGGTGGATCCAGACTGCAATGCTGTCCACCTTGAGAATGGTGGGGATGGTCAGGATGACAACGTGGGGCCCCTTCCATCTTGGTTCCAAGGTCCTGGACTGGTGTCTGCAGATCAGGACCCAGTCCCCGGGCTGGGTAACTATGGGGCTTAGGAGAGGAGGAGGCCTGCAATTGGGGCCATATGTCTGCTTGTTCTTGGGACAGAAATTCAGACTCTTAATGAGATCTGCATCCTCCATCTGCACCACCAGTTCTGTTTGTAGACTAGGTATAAGAGGGGGTGGCTGGCTGTACATGATCTCAAAAGTGGTTAATTCTAGCTGGTAAGTGGAATTCCTTACCCAGAACAAGGCATAGGGGAGGAGAGCCACCCAGTCACCGCCAGTCTCTAAGGCTAATTTAGAAAGGGTCTCTTTTAGGATCCAGTTCATCCTCTCGACTTGTCCAGAACTTTGGGGCCAATATGTGCAGTGTAATTTCCACTCGGCCCCTAATGCAGTAGCTATCCCTGGCTTACTTGTGAGATGAAGGCCCTGCCGTTGTCTGACCCAATCAGGTGGGGGAAACCAAACCTGGGGAGGATTTCTTCCAGTATCTTTTTTACCACCATGTGAGCCACCTCATGTCTGGTTGGGTATGCTTCAGTCCATCCTTAAAAGGTGTCTACAAAAACCAGTAGGTATCTATATCCATATTTACCTGGCTTAATTTCTGTGAAGTCCACCTCCCAGTACATACCTGGGCGAGTCCCTCTCTTCCAAGCTCCTTTTTTTTCCTTTTATCTTGTAGGAGTTTTCCAATTGGCAAGCCTTACATTCTGTTATAATTTTGTCAATAAGTTGATTGGCTTGACGAATTTTTAAGGGGGACCCAGAGATCAATTCTCTCAGCTTCTGGGTCCCTAAGTGAGAAGTCTGATGGATACTCTGGAGCATACATTTTCCTGAGTAGGCTCGGGAGAAGCACTTTTCCTGTGAGTAGCTCCACCATCCATCGTTTTTATATACTCTCTCTACCTGAGAAGCCTAGGCTTCCTCATCTGAATTATAATGTGGTGTGGGAGGTAAGCCGTAGGGGCCTGTATCTGCCATAACAGGTAGAGCCACTGTGATCTCTAATAAGGCTGCTTTCTTTGCTGTCTGGTCTGCCAGGTTGTTCCCCTTTGACATGGCATCTATCCCCCTTTGGTGGCCTGGACAGTGTGTTACTGCAAGTTTCTTTGGGAGACATAGTGCTTTTAGCAAGTCCAATATCTCTTGTTTATTTTTAATAGCCTTTCCTTCGGCAGTGAGCAGCCCCCCTCCATGTATATTGCCCCATGGATATGTAGCGTAGCAAATGCACACCTACTATCCATATAAATGTTAATCATTTTGTCTTTGCCCAGGCTTAGGGCTTTAAGTGAGTGCTATCAGCTCGGCTTTCTGGGCTGAGGTGCCAGCTGGTAGAGCTTCTGCCCAAACATTCTTACAGGTGGTGGTCACTGCAGCCCCAGCTTACCTGTGTCCATTTCGGGCAATGCTGCTCCTATCCGTAAACCAAGTCTCTTCTGCGTCTGTCAGCAGTGTGTTGTGGAGATCAGTTCAAATACAGTGTACCTGGGCTAGAATCTCAGCACAGTCATGGAGAG